GTTCAATAGTTCTAAAACCTCTCTCCTTTCAATTTCTTTAAAACACCATTCATTCTCTTTTGATTCCAACCAACTGTGTTCCACAGACTCTGTTTCCCTTCTTGGATTGTCTATAACTTCTTCTTTGTTCTGGTCCTTTAGTGACGACCGCTTCTCCCTTAGTTTCTCCCTAAATTCTGATCTGGGCCTTAATTCTGCTTGGGGCTGTCGGAACCGTGTTCTCTTCGATGCCAGTAAAACTTCCCTTATGCCCATTTCTCTTAAGCATGCATCTTTCTCCCCTTTCTTAAATTTTAACTCGAATATTCTCCCTTCCACAGAATCATGCAACCTATTGGGTCTTTCCTTATCTTCTTCTGTTTCATGATCACCGCACATTTGTCTACTTGTTTCCCGTGCTGCGCGCAAAATCGGCAACCTCTTCCACTCCAGACTTTTCTTCAGCCCCATTCACCTCCTCTCGCTTTCCAAAGCTCAGGTTCGCCACACGCTTGAATACTGCAGTCATTTTTGGGGTGGATCTCCGTCCACCTCTCTTTCTCTTCTTGATCGGGTTCAACTTAAGGCTATCCGTCTCATCAACGACCCATTCCTTATGTGCAACTTGCAGTCTTTAGTACACCGTCGGGCAATCGCTTCTTTATCCCTATTCTATCCATACTACTTTGGATTTTGCTCTAATTACCTTTCCACTTCTGTCGCTCTCCTGCTTGTTCTTCCTCGTAGATCCCGCGTACAAGCGGCTAGCCAGTCATTTCAAGTGACTCTCTCCAGGTGTGGTATTTCTAACTTTCAATCATCTTTTTTCCCCAAGAACAGCACAAATGTGGAATACTCTCCCGCCTTCGGTCTTCTCCCCAGCGTACAGCATCCTTGTCTGTAAACGCAGGATCAACGAACTGGTTCTAGTCTGACTGTTACCCTTACCTTCCCACTTACAGTACATCTTCGCATCATGGAGTTTACCTTTTTTGCTGTATTGATTTTCGTGTGATAAAAAACAATAACTAGAATCAAAAATTAACCATCAGTAACGTAATTCACACAATTCACAGGCTGCTGTGACTGTCAACCAACACAGTGTTCGAATAAATTAAACTGCTTAAGGCTCAGCAAAACAGATGTGTGCGGCCTCGAGCGCCACTCGAGTCTGGAGCTCCTCGATCGTGCGGTACAATGGGTTAACCGAAGGTCGGGCACGCTGATGTAGCCATTATGACAAGTGTGTCGTATGACTACTCACAAGTAGTTATGTTGCTGATATTTAAATAAAATATGTTCACAAAGTTTTAAAAAATAGGAATGAGTAGGAAATGTTCTCGATAACCGACAAAGAGAGACGTGGGTCAATTGCATCCACGATGTTCGTTCGACGACCGGACCACTTTTCTGGATTCCCTGAGATTCCTCCTATCCAGGTATATGCTCTTCTTATTGAGTGATTTTATTTTGCATGCTTTCGTTCCAACCATTTTGACGATTGTGAAACCATTATTGGCAGGATAACGCTTGATCAAGGACAATGTCTGTATCCAGAAATCGTGAAAGCCGTATCAAATCCCCGAACTCGTTCCGAAAATCAACTTCTTTCTTTGCGTATTTTCGTGTGTAGACAAAGTGCGATTCCAGACTTTGATCAGCTATTGGTTAAGCCTAAGATAATTGTCACCCACATCAAGGAAAGTCTTTTGTATTAGTTTCTTTCTCATGTACCACAGTATAGAATTTGTTACTTAGCCTTGTTGGTTGATCGCAATTTTTTAATATTCACTGTAACCGTTTGTAAATTGCTGAAAATTCATCCTTTAGGTGAACATAGGCGTTTATTGACTTGTATGATCACAGAACAAAACAAATTGTTCATCTTGGGACGTAGAGTGAGAAACCGCACAACAACTAAGGTAAAACCGACGGTCCGAAAGCCATATGAAAATCTGGAGCATGTAGCTCAGATGTTTAAGGGTTTGAAGTCACAACCCGAAAGTTTGCTGTGCGAGTCCTGTCAGGGACACAAACGTATGCACTGATGACGAATCCCAGTGCTCTTTGTCAGTTATTATCAAACATTTCCATCACATGTACGTGCATGAACCTGTGGGGAATTAACGATCTACTAAGGAGTGAAACTCACACCCAAGACTATCAAGAGTGCCTGTCACCTCTTAACAATCGAATGGGCTAATCCAAGCTGGCTACTCTAAAAATGAATGCGTAGCATTGAGTCAAAATGTCACTCACTGCTTGGAATGATCAACAGTTTGAATCACACCAGGAATGAAAGCCAATTCACTAGGTATCTATCAGTGATGATCCTCACTAATAAAGATGGATGACCTCTGGGAAATCTGAATGCTATCTATACAAGTTTGCATCTAATTGACGTCACTCGGTAATTCTCTAATTGGTGCAAAGAAAATTAATCCAGAACTATCGAAAATAGGAAAACACAAATTAGTCTGAGGTTTGAACTCACAGCACATTCTGTGCATTCGTCTTCGATGAGGATTTCTTCTTTTTGAACAGTCTCGCAATGTTTACAAGTGTAACATGCATAGGTTGGTACCAGATCCCGAATCACGGGAAATTCGATCAAATCACCCCCGGATTCGGGAAAATCTTGTCCGGCTAATGGTGGAACTGGAGGAACATCTCTTATTGGTTTTGCATTCAACCATGGATATAATTCCCCGTGACGTTTCGTGTCCGGACTGAGTGTATCGTAGGTTTGAGAAACATCCTCGACCAATCCCGTATCCTCATTCTGTTCCGCATCCGATGATTCCTCACTGAGGTCATCTGAATCGCACTGGACCAGTGTGAACAAACAGAAATAAAAGGCGATTAATTTCCGGTTATTCCCAATCGAGCACATGAAATGCGATGATGCATGCTCGCGTGCCGCACCGTGAAATATATCAGGTGAGTCACGTGAATGGCGTTTATATTGATTGCCTCAAACTATGGTCGATTTATCAATAATCACAAATCCACGAGGGTGATTTCATGTTCGGCAGTTGTCGCTCTCCGAAAGCTTTGTTCTTTATTCGACTCATTTTTAATAAGCCATTTGTTCCGTAAGATGAGTGTCGTTTTATGAAGAGCAAACGAAGCTTAAATTCAAATACTGGGAAGCATTGGGTAGCAGTTTTGCCCCATCATCAGCTGTGCGAATCCATTGACCCAAATGGGGTTGTATCATGGGATCTCAAAGGTAGAACGTAAAGATATTACTCGTTCGGTCACCAGGTAACTGATTAGATGATTTCTCATTTTGAATATACCCCTAAATAGCACAACCTATCTTTATAAGCTTCATGTAGGCACATATATATCACATGTCTGAGTTCAGACTGTGCCAGACAAATCACGGTACAATAATTTTTATAAAAGGAAAAATGTTCCACGATTTTCATGTGGGCCGAATACCGCCAGGTTGTCTAGGCCAAGGCAGGTGAACGTTTTTGGGGAGTCCACAACCAGAGACTTCGGCTGACCCAAGCCTGACCCGCAAAGCAGCGGAGCGATGTGTCCGTAGTAACTGTAGTACGCACTGATTGCGAAATGTGAATCTCGTATCAGAAATCACGGACGTCCTCGTAAGCTCTGAATCACACTTGTGCTAGCATGACAGTATCACATGTAACCGAGACGCAATGAGAAGGCCACAGGAGTAGCAGTTCATGTATTAAAAGAAATCATGGAGTTTAGATAATATGTACAAAACAAGTTCATTGATTATCCGAGCCTCTGCCAACCGCATGCCAGTATTTCTGGCGTCATACAGTTTCTGTCTGTGCCGAACAGCTTTCGATTGGTTGGTACAAGCTGTAAGTTGTAGAATCTTAGCTAACTTCACCTAGGAAACTTGATTCATCACAGGCGTCCGAAAACTGTAATGTATCGATCCGTGATTAGTGTCATCCCGTTGGCTAGGACCACCACAGTGTCCCGCGGTAGGTCTAAAGGAGTCCCTTTTCACGCAAAACGGGACTCAAATAGGACTCGCTTGAGACCTGAATAGAACTTCACTTTTCTGTTACCCCCAACGAAAGCACTTAAGTCCATTTTGAGTGGAAGAGGTTTCATTGCTGACCTCAAACCTCCCGGAAGCTATGCAACGCACTGTACTCACAATCCGTCTGTCATCGTGGCGTGAGTTTCGCTTGGTTGTCAGCGGTCTGCCCAGCCGTCTAAACATCACAAATGGACTCCAAATTCTGAACTGTCTGTCGGTAAGTAGGGTTGCATCTGAAAGCATTGTATACCAATAATGTGTATTGTATTAATGTTATCATTTCTCTATTCGTCATAAAACACAGCATTCAATGAACTGCATTGGATTTGTAACAAAGGAAACAATGGACTCATCGCACTCGTTCGCTCACTTTTGTCCAACCGGTATTGCTGGACCATAGGATATGATTATGACTTGTGATGGTTAAACACTAGTAGCCAAATTTTGCTGTATCTGGTATAACCAGAATGCGCATTAATTTATATGATTTTATTTTCAAAGAAAATTGGTAAAATTTTCACTCTATGTGACGCTTTACCGATCCCCGTTGTAGTCACATACAATTAAGTCATTTGACATACTCATTCCACAATTCAGAAACATTTTTGCGGAGTAATCATCAAGTTTTTGGTAAAACTTAATGCGACTAATCCACACTGTCTTGCATCCGTCGTCAATTTAGTTGTAAGTACATGGGGAAACGAGACACACGTATGGGGCCACAGGCAACTCAAATCTGGGTTTGCTTGGCACAAAAGCAAACATCTTTCTGAACGGGACAGCGTAAATCATGAATAAAAGTCTGACTGGGCCGGGAGAAACAAGCATAGCTGAAGACGTGCAAACGATGAACTATGAAGTATCTGGTCGGCAGATTGACGTCGAAACCTCTGATACCGATGAGGTGAGAATAAGTGCATTCGAATGACTGAGGATTGCTAGTTTAATGGTGGCGCTAAACGTTCACTTAAGGCATCGCACAGTTGTCAAGGGCACTAATCTCTTCTTGTCCACAGCGATTTTAACATCGATAATAGCTAATACTCACTGCATCAATGCCAAGGGAGTCCTCAACTCAAATTATGTTTCCAATATGGTCATTTGGATATAGCTTGCTGTTACCGAAACTTGTCTGTCAGTTGCTATTCTGGCTGACAATCTATCTTTATCGGGTATCAATCGCTCTGCTAAGGTGCCATAGTCTCGCATGTAAAGGTGATGTTCTACTTGTGATTTTTAACGCAGTTTTCCGTGCAAGGCAATCCATTTTTCAGTTTTGGCTCCTGATGCACCTAGATGTAAATTATGAGCTTCTGAGAGCAATGATTGTTTGGTGTTATCCATTGTCTTCCGTTATCCCCGGAGGAAACAAAAGAAAATCTCTTTTACAAACTGTCAACTATTTTGACCCAAAGATTTATCCATATTTTCTTACTAAGGCCGGGGGTTAGTTCAACTGCCCTAATTTCATTAAAAAAATGACCGTTCGTCCATCATCATCAGAACATCAGATTAAACAACCCACTGACTAGTGACTATTGCACAATCTCCGCAGTCAAGTCAAGCCATGTCAAAGTAGGTTTTATGCACCCAAAAGGGTGAATTTTCAGCGACTTTTCACGATAAGACAGTGGAGGATTGAGGAAGTATTGGATCCGAGTGTAAATAGGTTAAATGAAAAAACAAAACGACAACAAACTGTAAGCAGGAAGACGATAGTGAAACCAAACCTGTAATAATTGGTGCCCGATTTAGGCGAGCAAGAAAAGGCAGGATGCTGTTGCTGTATGTGACGGTGCGTGCGGGAAGGAGCCTATAAGAGGAGCGGGTACGGGGGTTTGACATGGATTTCGGAAGTTCGTTGTGCAAGCAATGATCTTCTTAGTTCAAGATTCTGTCGGCTATTCTATCGCATGTGTCGATATGTTGGCACACAATAAAATCAACCAGGACATCTCTGGCTATGCGACTAAATCGGAATAGGAGTTTTATGGACCAGGAAATTAATACGAATTGTTTTTCTTTTATGTTGGGAAAAATACAGGTGAACAGTACAGCCAATGAGGAAGGATGCTTGCTACCATGCTACCAGGAATTTGAAAATTACCGTCGGGGGAACAGTAAGCTTCCAAAGCCTGGAAGCATAAAATGAAAGTTTACGAACTCTGTTGTAAACGTTCTCTAAATGTCTAGTCCTAGAGAGATTGTGGGATAAACCGACTCCGAGGTATTTAACAGAGTTAGCTTTGGGAATGCTGTGACTGTTAACTACGACGTCCGGTAAATCATTACTATAGGTAGTTTGATAATGCGAGCCAGATTTAAGACTGAAGGGAACGTCGACACATTTGAACACATTAACCAAGAGTGATCGGGGTAAGGACCAACTCAAAAAGTCGTTCAGACTGCCTTGAAGTTGGTGGAAAGAAGCATCAGTATTGGAGAGGGCACCCACATCGCCACATCGTCTTCATAATTACAGACTAAAAACAAAACAGTGACGGAGGGGGCACCAGGTATTGAGACAATGATAATCAATGCTGGAATCGATATTGACAAACGAGAGGCGAATGATAGAATCAAACATTGTTACGTCCGTCCCCGAATGCATTTATCAACAGAACTTCTAGTCTATTGTGGTCTATTCTGTTGAGAGAACACAGGTTACCGAACAAGCTTTTTCTCGGTGACACGTCAACTGGTTATATGCAGCACAATTGATAATCATCAAAGTAGGTAATCAGGGAAGAAACAGTTGCGAAAGAAATCACAGTTTAGAAGGATATGATTCAATTGTGATAATTGGCACACATGGTATTTTTATGCGTATATGTGGAAGGCGAGTTGATGAATGCATGGAGTTTACTTCATGAGAATGTAAGCGGCTGAACGCAGTATGATCAGTACATTTACAAACTATTTATATTAAAACAACGGGATGGTTGTGAAGACGGATGGCAGTTACCTCTGTTGTTTCTAAAATTGGGG